CCTGCAGGGGACGGCCATGTCCAAGAAGGTGAAGACGTCCGTCGAGCGGCACACGCACAAGGCGGCCGCCGTGTCCGAGCGGCAGCAGCAGGTGAGCGCGTCCGCGAACGGGGCGCCTCGCCAGGAGGAGCAAGCCCGTCCTCCGTCGGTGCCGCCGCCCCGCCCGCCGGTGCCCGAAGAGACCGACCTCCTGGCTGTGCCCCCACCGCGCCCCCCTGTGCCCCGAGGGTATTCCGACACACCGCTCCCCCCCGAGGCCTATGTCTTTGGCGGGACAGTGGTGACGCAGTCGGTGCTTCCGCGGGTAGGTGGAGGCGTCTTCGTCGAGCGCAGACACGTAGTGGACGTGAGTACTGTCGCCGCCGTTGCACCGCCCTCCTCGCCGCCCACGCCCACGGTCTTGTGGGCGTGGGTGGATGCAAGGTAGGCGCGGGCGGCGCGATTCTAGTGACCCTGACCCTAGCGTGACCCGCTGACCCACCAGCCGGTCCAGAGAATAATCTAGCAGTATAGTCAGCGAGACGCAGCTCTAGCGTAGCAGGAATGTTACTACCCCAATCACGTATCTGGTGGCTGGTGTGATGTGGAAACTAACACTTGGTGTAACACCGTAACACACCCAACCTCTCCACAAGGTTCCGGAGCCGTCGAAGCGCCGAGCGTCTCCTCGTCGCCGCCAGAAGATCGGCTTCCCTCTCCGACCCCGCACCCCCTCGCTCCTCGTCAGGTGCTGCGGCGCCCGCTGCCAGCTGCAGATTATACGTGTTGTCCCGTGTCTGTCTGTCTGGGCCTCTGGGCCTTGTGTCGTTGTCTTTGTGAGCGACTCCAGCACCTCCCGAATGCCACGCCCCCTCCAGGATGCCCGAGTTGAGGAAGGTGGATGCGCATCATGAAAGGAGTAACTGGGATAAGTGGAATAACCATTGGAGTGCGTTAACTCTTCACATTCGCGTGTGGCTCCCTTGCGTATTCTAAGTTACGGTACTAAACATAGATTTTTTTGTCTGGACTTCTATTTTTTCTACATAGACGTGTAGCGAACTAGGTTTATGTCTATATATTTGATGAAGTTATCCTTGAGGCAGCGGTGCGTGTTAACCTGACATGACCTGGACTGGCCGCTTGTTCCAGGGGCCCGCAGACGACCCCTTCAACCGGCCGCCCTCCGGAGGCCCCGTCAAGAGGAACGACGCCGAGTACCGGTGGGTGACGGACGCCACCAAGTACGAGTACAGGGAGGTCGTTGATTTCCCGTGTGTCTCGGAGAGAGTGAGTACTCGCCCCTCCCCCTTAGGCACCCAGCCCCTCTCACACGCACGCTTCAGAGTGCCACACTTGTCTCACCGCCTGGAGTGCCACCTCTGGAGAGAACCTTAGTCCCGCCTCTCCAGGCTCTCACTTAGTGGCTTTTGTAGTGTCGGGCGGAGGCGGTGGCGGCCCGCATGAGGCGGCCGAGGCTCTGAGAGACCAGCTGCGGCCGTGCGACGCCCGCCCACCGCGCCCGTGCATGACTACCTCGTTCGGGATTTTCTTAGTCGTAAGCGTGGAGTGCCATGTCCTCGATGAGTTGATCCTTCGGGTTCCCCCGCCCGAGGAGTACCTCACCCTCGTTCTCGTCCAATCGTTTTTTCCCTCGTGTTTTATCTTTTTATCCTAAAATATAACTCGTTTGGTTTGCATGGTTTTAATTCAATTTAATATAAACAACGAACTCAGAACAACAGACACTCTGACACACCGACCTTCAGCAGGAGCTTCTACCTCATCGCGAAAGGGATATCGATGTGTCGCCCTTCGCATACACACTTGCAGGCCGCCTCCTGGTCTTCCTTGGTTCTCGCCCCCCCCCCCTTCCATTCCCCAATGACCCTTCCCCTCATTCCCCAAAGCCCATTTTGCGTTCCCGATCTCTCCCCTTTCTGGCTTTTGTAGACCTGCAGTTAGTCTAGTGGTCTCCATTAACGTGTACAGTGTCTGTATATAGTGTATGTCCATATCGTGCCCTCAGAGGCGGCGAAGCAGGTGGGAAGGGAGGACGCAGGCAGGTCTTTCCTCTTGACCTGTGTCAAGATCCTGTGTGTTTTGGACTGCAGTCTAATTGGCCTTGGAATGCGGCGAAAAGGTTCCCTCCCTTCCGAGTGCTTCGTCGCCTTTGGATTATTATTTCATTTTATTTTTTGCAGAGATTAGCTTCAGCCATATCTTTTTCAGTAGATTGTGTTTAGATTCGATTACTTCAAAAGCACAAGCCATTATTTCTTTTAAAGCATTATTAAGGTTGTAGTATGCACTAGCTTTTCGTTTCTGTGATCTTAGCTTTGATTTCAGTTTTATCCGTTTAGTTGCCCTTCATTTAGGATTTTCTCAGTAGCGTAGGCAGTGTAGTGCATATTGAGCCCGCTTTCAACAGCCTTGTTCGGGTGCGAGTTGCAACCTCTTTGGGACGTATAGAATATTATGACGCCATTAGCCGTTAGTTCAGTTTATTTATTTATTTTCCATTTTGTTTTTGCAAAGAAGGTGAACTGTAATCCGAGTGTCATTAGATGATGCTTAGAATGGACTGCTTCGATGTACTTGTTAATGCATCGTTTTCTTTCAGCAACTTTTTGAAATGTGCAATTGGCTCGGATAATTGATTTTGATGAATTAATAATTAGTTATATTTCACTCGGCCATGGTTTTCGTACAGATGCGTCCCCAAGAGGTGCAACTGCTCCTCCCCGCGAGGCTTAAGGTTGTAGGCCTAATTATAAGAAACGGTTCCATAGGCCTTAAAATGTGCGGTTCTTGGCCGAGGGCAGTTTTTCTAACCCCGGAGGAAGGAAACACAGCTGTCCTCGAGTCTCCTTAGGACAAATTATGTATTAAAAACAAACATTTTACAGGCTTAAGAATAGACAGTGCCCCCCCCCCCCTTCCCCTTTCGTTTTAACTAACCCCGGTGACAGTGTATACTCTCCCCTCCCCTTCGCCCCGCCCACCCACCTGTATAGCCAGTGTAGTAGTAACGGGCGGCGTTGGTGGAACCGATGCCCTTTACCCACGTTACTGTAGCGAACCGCCCCCAGCTTACCCTTGGCCCGCCCTCCCTTCCTCTCCACCACAGAAGCAGGAGAAACTTCGCAGCCCCGCCCTCGTCCGCAGGCTGGTGAGTACGCACGCCCGCACGCCCGTCCGCACGCACGCCCTTCGAGCTCCCGTCGGAGGGGCGTCCTAACTTCGGTCGGTCGCGGTGGAGGGGCGCCGGCGGGTCCGTTTTGTACGAGCTAACCTCCGTCGGCGCCTCTCGCTCTCGCCCCTCCTCTCTCGTGTCCCCTCTCTTGCCGGTGGAATATCTCTCTCTCTCTCTCTCTCTCTCTCTCTCTCTCTCTCTCTCCTCTCTCTCTCTCTCTCTCTCTCTCTCTCCTCTCTCTCTCTCTCTCTCTCTCTCTCTCTCTCTCTCTCTCTCTCTCTCTCTCCCTCTCTCCCTCTCTCCCTTCTCCCTCTCTCTCTCTCTCCCTCTCTCCCTCTCTCTCCCTCTCTCTCTCTCTCTTCCCTCTCTCTCTCCCTCTCCTCCCTCTCCCTCCCTCTCCCTCTCTCTCTCTCTCTCTCTCTCTCTCTCTCTCTCTCTCTCTCTCTCTCTCTCTCTCTCTCTCTCTCTCTCTCTCTCTCTCTCTCTCTCTCTCTCTCTCTGTTCCTCACACACTCACTCACTCACTAACATTTTACATTTTACATACATAACTTGCATAACATACATAGCATACATAACATACATAATATACATAATATACATACGTACATACATATATACATGCATATACGTATAACGTGCATTACGCGCGCGCGCGCGCGCGCACACACAACACACACACACACACACACCACACACACACACACACACACACACACACACACACACACACACACACACACACACACACACACACACACACACACACACACACACACACACACACACACACACACACACACACCTATACAATCTGTATATACAAACTAAGAGACATATAGATAGAAAAAATAGATCTATGTAATGACAGCCACAGGCGCCGTCAGCGCACTGATTTCAGCAACGCCGGTACACTCACACATTAACCCTGGCCCTCGCTCACTCACACAAAGCACGCCCGAAAAGCCTGCGTGATGACACCTCGGTATTGAGTGGCAGCACTCGACAAACAGGTTCTGGCTAAGCAAGGCGAAGAAGTCCTCGCCGCCGCCTGCTTGCGCCTGCTTGCGCCTGCTTTCGAGGTCATCATGCAGGCCCTTTACACACACACTCGCGCTCCCGGGGACAGGCCGAGAGAGGAGGTAAGTGGCGCAGAGGCGAAGTAACACCTTAACCCGTAGGCCTATAACCGCGCGTAACCCGTGGGTTTGTAAAGGTGTAACCCTGACGTCACTCACACGGAGGCTTTTGTTATTGTTATTTGTTCTTCTTGTGTGTTTGGGGTTGTTGGTTGTATTGGGCAGCCGTGAGGATAATACTTGTCGTTGTGGAAGAACAGAATCCCCGGATTGGTGTTCTCTGCCGCCCTAACAGTCGGTGCAAAAGAGTGCGGTTGTAGTTCTTGTCCGAGTTAGCATGAAGACCGTGCGTGTGCAGGTGATGGTGCAAGAAAGTGGTGAAATGGAACAAGGAAGGAAACAGTAACACAAACAGAAAGGAAAACACGAGATTAATATCCCAGACTGCAGTTGTGGCCACTAACATCGTAATCCGTACTGACGGCCTCGGCGCTCAAATGCAGGTTAACGATACTTGATACTGGGGAGACGCCGTCCCGCTCATACATAACTAATCCAAGAAAAAAAATATGCACGTCGACTTATACATATAATTATATATATGTATATATATACGTGTGTGTATGATTATATGTATATATATATAATATATGTATATATATATATATATATATATATATATATATATATTATATATATATGATTATATATATACATGTATATATGTATGTATGTATATGTATATGTATGTGGACAAATATTATCAGTGGATATAAGTATAAGCGGGAATAAATAATCATACCAGGCAAAATATGCAACTGACGCATTTCGATTATATCTTTATCCGAATTACGTGATTTAATCGCAAGGAAACACGTCAGCTGCATCTTTTGTTTGAGTAGTTATTTCGCTTTTATTTCCGGCTCTTATCCACGTGCCACAGTGAACTGACAAGACTACAAATAGTACTGAAAAAAACTAACTTGTGTGAGGTTTTGCAATTTGGAGTGGTAAGCATGTATAGCATGGTGATATTAACATATTTTAAGCGTGATATATTAATTACTATATTCATTGTTGATTAGACGATGTTTTATATTTGTTGTGATAATAGTATATACAGACTTTATCTTTGATACTTTCGACATGTTATTAAAGGGGTTCACATAACATTTGCGAGTCCTAATATAAAGAAGAAGAAGAAGAAGAAGAAGAAGAAGAAGAAGAAGAAGAAGAAGAAGAAGAAGAAGAAGAAGAAGAAGAAGAGAAGAAGAAAAAAAAAAAAAAAAGTGAGGAAATGAAAGAGAGAAAGAAAAGGATAGGAATGGGTAGAAGTAAAACACATGTCTGTTCAGCTTTCCTCCTCATATTTTTATCTACGAGGGAAATGTTTACTCTCGCGTGTTGTATTTAGGGTATTGGCGGCCGACCACCAGTAGATGCTGGGGTGTTGTCAGGAGGTGGTGTTGCCCGTGAAAAGATGGCGCTTGCCTTTTGCATCGCCCGAGAACATATATGGGAATAGGGGTAGGAGTTACTGAAGGCATTTGCAGGGTGCTAGAAGTAGAGTGCGTGGGAGGGTCGGGGATTTAGCTGTGTTGGCGCCATGTATGTGTGTATATATTTTCTTTTCTTTTACTTTTTTGTCTTTTTTTTTCTTCGTTGTCATGGTAATTGCGGTTTCTTGACCTTTCTCTGTTCACGGTATGGGGAAAGAAGGGGAGATTTATTTTTTACTTTCTAAGACAGAGAGATGGTTTAAGAAAAAAGGCTTGATTTTTATGCTCGAATGTATATTTTTTCCTTCGTCTTTCTCCCTCACTTATGAAAAGTCTTAATGTGAAGTGACACGGCGAAATAGCAGGGTAGCCTTTTTCTCTCCTGGGCTACCGCTAAGAGGGATGGAGGAGGCAGGTGCGTTGTGACAATCCTCAGGGGGGAAGCGGAGGTGTCAGGAAGGAAGGAAGGGGAGAGGAGGGAAGGGGCAGGGGAGGAGGGAAGGAGGCAGGGGAAGAGGGGAAGGGGACAGGGGAGGGCGAGGAGGGAAGGGGGAAAAAAGGGAGGAGCTAGAAAGGAAGGGGAAGGGTCAGGAAGGAAGGAAGGGGAAGGAGCTAGAAGGAAAGTGTTCGGAAGGGATGGGAGAAAGTGTAGGAAAGGGGGAAAGGGGGCAGGAAGGAAGGAAGGAAGGAAGGAGACAGGATACGGGAAAGGAGGGGAGGTGAGCCTGGAAGGAGGGAAGGGAGAAAGGAGGGAGGAGCTGGTGAGAAAAATGGCAGGGTAGAGAGAATTGACATAAATAAATATTAAAGGTAAGTGCGAATACGACAGCCATTTTATTTTTCTTGAGGATGAATCCGAATGATGAGAACGATGATTGTGTTTACCTGTTTATGGGCAAAGGGGATTTCGTTAGATGAAGCATCAAACGGAAATGCCCAGAAGTGTTTATCAATATCGTTCTTAAAAGGTTCATTAAACGTAGGTGTCGAATGCAAGGAGGCGGTGTGGAGGGGAGAGAAGATGGGGGGGGTGAGTAGGGGATGAAGGGAGGGGGTGAGGGAGATGAAGAAGGAAAGGGGGGTGAGGGGGATGGGTAAATGTCTCCGACGTGAAGGCTAAATATGGGTAAAGGTGTCCAGGAGGGAGGATGCAGGTGAGCGGAGGAGGCAGAAGACAGGTGAGGGAGGAGGAGGAGGAGGAGGAGGAGGAGGAGGAGGAGGAGGAGGAGGAGGAGGAGGAGGAGGAGGAGGAGGAGGAGGAGGAGGAGGAGGAGAGGAGGGGGAGGGGGAGGGGGAGGACGTGGAGGAGGAGGAAGGGAAGAGGAAGAGGAAGAGGAAGTAGCGGAGGAGGAGCTGGGGGCAGAGGTGAAAGAGAAAGAGGGGGAGTTGAAAGTGATGAAGGAGGAGGAAGAATGGGAGCAAAGGGTTATGATGGAAGAACAAGAGGGAAGAATAGGTGGGAGGAAGGATGTGAGAAAGATAAAGAAAAAGGAATAACAAAGAAATTAAGAAAAGAAAGCAGGAGGTGGAAAGGGACAAGTGAACACAGATAATGCAGATGAAGAGGAGAAGGGGCAGGATCTGCCAAGAAATAAGGTGACGACATGCAGGTATCACGAGGGAGAGGGAGATGGGGAGGGGTTGACAGGTGCAATTATGAGTCAGGATTTGGTGCGTCCATTTCTTTATTCTTCTCCACTCCTCCTATTCCTCTTCTTCTTTCTCTTCCTCTTCCCCTTTCCCTTTCTCTTCCTCTTTCATTTCCGTTTCCTTTTTTCCATCCTCCGTCTTTCTCTCCCTCTTCTTCTCGTCCTCCTCCTCCTTCTGCTGCTCCTCTTCCTCCTGCTCCTCTCCTCCTCCTTCTTCCTCCTCCTTCTGCTGTTGCTGCTCTTGCTCCTCCTCCTGTTCCTGCTCCTCCACCTTCTCTTCCTGCTACTTCTCCTCCTCCTCTTCCTCTTCCTCTTCCTCTTCCTCTTCCGCATCCTCTTTCCTGGTAAAACTGTTAATGCTATTTTGGAGGACTTAAAAGGAAACCAATGTCTTCAGATTAAATTCGTGGGCATCGGCATGAAACGAGAAATAGGTAGAAAATGTAACCCGACCCCATTACAGTGGATGAAATAGGGGGAAGCAGACGGCCAAGATCTCGAGGAAGGATATAGGATAGGAAATAATAGGATAGCGACGAGAGGCGAAGGGAGAAGGGTTGGGGAAGGAGCGAGGGAGAGGAAGGTCGAAGGTTCGTTTTCGTAGAAGGAATTGGGAGAGGAGGAGGAGGAAGAGGGGCGGGCGTAATTTCAGACGAAGGGAGGGCGAGGGTCATATGGGCGTGAAGGCAGTGCCGTAGGTGGATGGATGGGAGGGGAGTGGGCGGGTTGGGGGGAGTTACGTCAGGGTGCAGGAAGGTGAAAGAAGGAGGGGGGTTAAAGGGAGAGGGTGGGGGGAGGGAGGGAGTGCCAGTGGGGTGGAGTGGGGTGGGAGGCAGGAGGGCGTGGGCATAAATACCCGCGCGTTCCCAGGGGTGTCACAGTGCCTCCCGCGTCGCCGCCAGGGGTAGGTGAACACTCCTGGGACACTTGGATTATACTCGTCCCCGCCCCGTCCTCGCCGCGGGTCCTCTGGGCGGGGGTCTTCGGCGAGGCGGATGTTCCTTGGGGTGTTCGGAGATGCTTGGCGGGCGGAAGGAGCGCGCGACGCCTTATTACGCGATCGTGGATTTATGCATAGTCTTACATATCTGTGGAAAGGAAGGAAGACAAGTGATACACGGAAGGCAGCAAATGCACGGGCGTGCGGAGAAAACACATCACAGGTTACACAGACTCGCCGCCCGCGCTAATGACCACATCACACTAGACCCCAGGAATACGCGCACAGACACTCGTCCTCGCTCCACCATTCTCACTCGCAAGCAAAGTCGAAATAAGTTCTTTGCTCGCAAGGACACCAACGCACGCACACGCCACCTTGCAGGAACACCCCAGACCAACACGGACGGACGGGTTCGTGGCCAGACTAATCTTAGAAAGGGAAATCTACCTTGAGGGCACAGCTGTCGAACACACATCACACCCGGGCGACAGTTTCCACCTGCCCGACGCGGACATCACACTTTCTGGCCACCTTCGCCCTCAGCCCACGCGCGACTTTGGGCGTGGCCCCGCCAGGCGCGGCTCCCAGAACACGCCCACAGTACTCAGGACTCTTTTGAGGACTGACAGGATTTTACGATTCAAAACAACACATTATCATTATTATTTTTTTTTTTTTTTTGCTTTGCTTTAGTACATATCTAGGTCACGATCCCCTGTCATCTCAGGTCTCTGAGAATCTGTTTATTCTAATCAGAAATGGAGAGAAGAAAAGTAAAAAAAAAAAAAGGAAGCATTCTACACCCCCCCCCTCCCCTTCCTTCTCCCGTTTCCTAATGTTTGGGGAAGTTTCTTTAAGAAGCCGTGGCCTTATCCCCCCCTCCCCCTCCCCCGCTGTCATCCTCAGCTCAATTTAAAGAGCTTCCTCCCAGACTTCCCGCCCCCGAATAACCTTGCCGTGTCCTCCTGCAGATCAACGCCAGCACCCTCCAGACGCAGGTGGATTCCGCCTACGCCAAGCCGCAGAAGTCGGCCAAGAGTCCTTCGCCGCCCGCGCCCGCCCCCGCACCTCTCAAAGAACCGACGCCGCCCAAGGAGCCCTCGCCCACGCCCACGCCGCCCCAACCGAACCAGCTTGATTCTATGCTCGGTTCCCTGGCCTCACACATGACTGAGCAGGGCATCACCACCACGCAGAAGGGCTGCTGCAGCGCCTGCGACAAACCCATCGTCGGACAGGTATGTTGGGTCCTCTGTGCAAATGATTGCCTCATAATCTCTCTGAATCGCAAGGAGTACGCCTCTGTCCACCTTCTCCGCCCGCAGGTGATCACAGCGCTAGGCAAGACCTGGCACCCCGAGCACTTCACGTGCGCCCACTGCAACCAGGAGCTGGGCACCAAGAACTTCTTCGAGCGCGACGGCCGCCCGTACTGCGAGGTCGACTACCACAACCTGTTCTCCCCGCGCTGCGCCTACTGCAACGGCCCCATCCTCGACGTGAGTCCTAGGCCTTGGGGTGGGAGGGGCGGGTGCCTTGGGGGCGAGGTTAAGGGGGCGTAAAGAAATGAGTGGTCCTTGACAGGGGAATATATCACATCAAGATTTTGAGCGCGTTAGATGTAGGAAAGAGTTAACACTATTGCCCCCTGGAATGACACGCGCCGCGCTTCTTCTCCCCGACAGAAATGCGTGACGGCGCTGGACACGACCTGGCACCCGGAGCACTTCTTCTGCGCCCAATGCGGGAACACGTTCGGCGACGACGGCTTCCACGAGAAGGACGGGAAGCCGTACTGCCGCGACGACTACTTCAACATGTTCGCGCCCAAGTGTGGCGGCTGCAACGCGCCCATCATGGACAACTACATCTCCGCCCTCAACGCACAGTGGCACCCGGAGTGCTTCGTCTGCAGGGTAAGTACCGCCCTTTCAGTTCCCTGCCATCATGTCCTCCCTCATCACCTCCTCTTACCACTTCCCATTATTATTGTCTTCTCTGCTATCGCCCTTTCTTTCACGCTATTTCCATGTCACTGCCCCTTCCGTCGTCAGTCGTCTTCCGACTTGCGATATCCTTGTGGCCAGAACAAGGTAAGTCCTCATCGAAGTATGCAGATCTGGGCATTATTTTTTCCATATCACATTTTGTAACATTTTATAGCTGCACACTTCCAACAGCGACATGAAGAGCTTTCGCAGGTAAGAAATACCTCATATATATTTACATTCTTGTTGCCATTAACCTGTGAGTCACACTCAGGTTGGCGACGTCCACCTGGTCTGGCGACAGCTGGAGGCAGCGGTGAGGCCAAAACGGAGACCAAACTTGGGCTCGGTCTCCCGGCAGAGCCTCCTGTGGACAATTTAACTTCTGTCTCATTTTCAGATTTGATGACGACAGATGGAGGCTCATTTAACGAGTGCGCTTTTGTTGTTTCCTTGGCTGAATCATGAATATGCTTTAAGAGGCTTTTGTGAGTGAATGTATGTGTGTGTGTGTGTGTGTGTGTGTGTGTGTGTGTGCACATATGTACATGGACCTTTACACGTGCGTGCACGTTTGTGCATGAAAGGGAGAACTTTTTATCGTGTCCACGTCCCCTTAACACAACATAACCTGGGACTGCAAGGGCATCTAACACTTGTGACGTCCCGAACGGCCCACACGAGGGCGGCGTTGTTGCCGTAGTCGTAGCCAGCATCTTTGTGTGCAGAGTGTCTCCTGGAGACCTCTCCCTGTCACAGCCCTGACCCCTATCTGCCTTCCCCAAGGACTGCAAGCAGAGCATGAAGAAGAAACAGTTTTATGAGATGGACGGGAAGCCCGTGTGCCCGGCGTGCGTGGGCGTGTCCGACGACGAAGACGAGTAGGCGCAGAGGGACTAGCAGCAGCGGGAGAAGCAGAATAAAAGACCACTCACAGAGGCAGACGAAAGGGACCGGGGCGAGGAACGAAATGAATCAATATGTGCACCCAAGAATTATTCTCGGCGGGGAAGAATCAGTGTATGAGATTATCAGAGAAACAAGTTGTGGTTATATTTTCTCTTTTACTGACGACTGATACCACGGCTTCAAGATTGTGCATGTGATTACGTGGTCGTCATTCTCTACACAGAAACTAGTGTTATCGTCATCAAGCAGAAGAGCTCTCAGAAAAGCAGACACAAACGCAGCTAATTAACGGATAAGCTTAATAATTACGACATTATTAACGATAACATTAATTATAACAATAATTATGATAAATTCATAATAATATTCAACATCTGAGACCATGTTCACACAACTGGGATCAGTGTTGTAAATGACTTGAAGCAAGTCTTCATACTATCTCAGGGAAAATTCAAAAAGAATATTTTAAAAAAATTCTTTAAAAATCCATAAGGAAAACGTTATAAAAAATACTGTCAGATCTCCCCGATAAGAAGCCCAAACGAAGATGAAGAAAACGACAAAAAATCACTTGACTTGAAGCACGAAGAGGAAGGACCCTGGTCGTGGCGGGACAGCAGCCCCTGACCTCTGCTTTTGTAATTGTTATCTCTGGCAGATACGTTATCAGTTCGTTGTTATCTGCCGGTAGTTGCGACCTAGTTGATTGTAGTTACAGCGGCAGTTCCTACGATGTGTTCGCCGTAGAAGGATGTTCATCGTTCTCTCTGCAATCTCTCCAGCGCCACGGACCCGTTCATATTCGTTCAGTTTATTTTCCTTTCATCTGTTGAACCGTGTTACGTTTTTCGTTCTTATTTGCATCCCTTTGGTTTCCTTTATTTATTTTTCTCTCAAGTTTATTGTTGTCTTAGGAATGAACATGTGCTACTATGATTAAATTTCAGATACTATTTTGTATTGTTGATGAAATAAAGTACTTTTAATACATCACGGGTGTTTGGTGTGATGATTGTGTGGTTTCCTCTGTTGTGATGAGGATGAAGATGATGTTCAAGACATGCTCTCTCTCTCTCTCTCTCTCTCTCTCTCTCTCTCTCTCTCTCTCTCTCTCTCTCTCTCTCTCTCTCTCTCTCTCTCTCTCTCTCTCTCTCTCTCTCTCTCTCTCTCTCTATTTCTATCTCTATCTCTCTGTCACACTCAGTCTTTCACACATTCACTCGCTAAAACACACACACGCACACGCGCACACACACAC